CATATAATCAATAGAGCCCCTTACCCCCCCCCCCCTCCCCCTTCCCTCGCGAGAAACAATAGTACTCCTGACCCCGGGACCACAATTTTTTAAAATCAAATTTTGTAAGAAGCACCATTGATCATCAAAACTATGCACTTTGTTTATCTGCTGAATACCCAGGAGCAGACAAGATTATTTAATAGAATTAATGCATTTTCACTATAATTATATGTATTATCAATAGAGTCTCTCACTTACACCAGAACCTCCCCACTCTCTCTACACTCTTGCTCACCATAACTATTCATTTAGTTTCTTTGCTTTATAACCAGGAGCAGAAAAGAATATTTTCAAAGAAATTATATTTTTTTCGCTTTATAATCAATAGAGCCCCCCCCCCCCTTTCATCAGCACTCCCGCCACTCCGACCCTGTGGCCATGAATTTCACAATTCCAGAAGAGTCACCATGCACTCAGTTTGTTTAAATAATACCCAGGAGCAGATTTTTTTTTCAAAGAATTAATGCATTTTCACTATATGTAATCAATAGAGCCCCGCCCTAACACCAGAACCTCTGATCCAGGGCCATGAATTTCACACTTTGGAAGAGGCACTTTTGTTCACCATAACTATGTACCTTGTAAGTCTGTTTAATACCCAGGAGCAGAGAGGAAGATTTTCAAAGAAATAATGCACTTTCACTATATGATCTATAAAGTCCCGCCCTAGCATCAGAACCCCTAACCCTGGCACCATGAATTTTACAATTTTGGTAGGGGACTCTATGCTTATTACAATCATGCTAACAAATTGACTGCTTGGTGTCCAGGAGTAAAGAAGATTTTCAAAGATTGCATCAATTTTGGTGGTTTTGGCCCCATCCCTCAGTCCCGGGGGGGGGGGGGGGGGCAAGGGCCACGAATTTCACAATGTTTGTTCCCTTCACCCATATATGCTAAAACTGATTGAAATTGATTCAGTGGTCCAAGAGAAGAAGCTAAAAAAGTTTAAATGTTAACGCACATCGCACGACGACGGACGAGAACGGATAGAGATAGTCACCTGAGTAACCAGGTGACCTAAAAAAGTTGAAAGGCCCGGAGTCTACATACCCACCCCGGGGGGGGGGGGTGTTTCCTCAAGCACCTATGGCTTTACCTGTTTACGCTCTTTGCAAGATTATCTACCGGTGAAGGGTTTAAATAATTTGGCACTCACGGTCTTAATTCTTCTTTCTTGTCTTCTTCAGATCGTAACCGTAGCTCAGTCGATAGAGCGCTCGCTCCGTGATCGAAAGGTCGTGTGTTCGAATCACGACCGCGACTAACCTAAGTCGATAAAAAAATAGGTAGCAACTATTCCTTCGCCAAGCGCTCGGCACTTTGATGTGAAAGTTGTGGGTCCTTCGGATGAGACCTTAAAAACCGAGGCCCCGTGTCACGGCAGGCGTTGGCACGATAAAGATCCCTCACTGCTCATAGGCCCTAGGTGAGGAGTAAAGGTCTAAATTTGAAGCCCTTCACCGGTATATGAGTGAAAAATTCTCGAACGAGACGTTAAACAACGTACAATCAATCAATCAATCTTGTTTCCTTCTTCTTCTAAATTATTTTTGCCCAAAAGGGGTTGCGATCGCACCCATTATCCAGCCCCCCCCCCCCCCCCCTTGGCGACATCCTTGCATTGTTTTTGTACAATATTCTTTAATATTTTTTTATGCCCCCTCCATGAAATAGCCATGGCATATAGTGTATCCTGTTCCGTCATTCATTCTGTCATTCCGTCATCATTTACTTTACATTCAATTTACTTTACGGTGAAGTTCGAATTTGGTCATGGTCCGATGATTTTTGACAGAGTTATCCCTCCTTAACTTAGAAAAAATAAGAAATTTTTAGTTTCAGCTTTCTAACTTTTGTAGGGATGTATGTATAAGGTTGAAATTGCATGCACAGTATTTTACCAGAAAATAGAGTTCAAATTTGAATTTTGTCATGGTCCGATGATTTTTGACAGAGTTATCCCTCTTGAACTTAGAAAAAATAAGAAATTTTCAGTTTCTGCTCTCTAACTTTTGTAGGGATGTCTGTAAAAGATTGAAATTGCATATTCAGGTATTTTTTTAGAAAATACGGGTCAAGTTTGAATACAAATTTAAAACTAAATATTGCATTTGAAATGTTGGCTGCTTGCGGGGGCTGGCGTTAACAACAAATCGGCTAATTGTATTCGGCGCGTCGGCGCGCTCGCGCAACAGATTTTGTTTATAAAATAAATTATCGCTTATACAATATTGTTAGCATCGGGCTCGATATCATAAATAATCAAAGTACTTAGAAGTACAGAGAGCCGGGCTCATTTACAGAGAAGTGAACAAGTCCGTTTTACATGAAACATACATTGTAATTACAGATTAATAACAACAAGACACTGGAAGAATATGTGACACAAAAATATATTTATGGCATATAGTATAAATAAAAAATGTTTAAAAAATAAAATAAAATAAAATGCAGTTTGAATTTACATTGATGCAGCAAGGTCAAATATACACAGACGGGTCCTCAGCGGGGAGTTTTGCATAAAGGTGTGCATCGGGTCACATGCTCCCCGCATTAGCCTGGTAACACAACCTTTATCTATAGAATATGAAGCTGGCAGACTTGATGAAATTACCTATCGCATCTTTTAAACAAATAATTTATTGAAGAAAAGGGGAGAAAGTATATTATCATTTTTTTTTTTTTTTTAAGAGAATTTCTTAGTTAAATTAAATTTGTTTAATTAAGTGTCTGTATTGCTTCAAAGGTGGTTGAGCATACGTACTATATTCTTACTCATATTTAATTTGGCGGTGAGGAAGCGGTATTTCCGGTTGAACACCGTAACATAAACCGGCTATTGCTCTACGAGCAATGCGCTCGGCTAAAAAGAAAGTTTTATAGATGGAATTTTGTTTTTGAAGCTTCAACATCACTTGTTTGCACAGGGTCCGTTCGCCTTATTTATATTGCAGAAATTGAATAATTAACCAATGGATTTTTTAAATAAATTATATGTACATTGGTACATAAATTGCACACGGGAGACAACAGACGAATGCATGTGGTCAACTATACCGGTAATTTATACCTGTACTAATCAAAGACCCAGCAGACCAACAGAAATTAACATCTCAGTCCTTTAATTGAACATAACGCAGATTGTATGATCCCCTAAATTACAGTGACATTATTAAGTATAATTAAGTATAATTAAATCAATTAAGCATGTAAAGAGCATAAATATCAAATTTGAATTACTTCATTAAGATTACGGTTAATAAAAAATAAATACTGTAGCAACATTTGAAAAAAACACCAAGTAAAATATTTAATAAAATTAATAATAAATGTTGATATTTACTATATACTGTATATATAATAGGGCGAACGAGATATAGGGCGAACAAGAATAATGGCGAACGGACCCTGCGCGAACGGACTCATGCGAACAGGTAGATAGGGCGAACGAACCTGATACCATTATTTAATTGCCTGTTGTTTCTTTTATTCATGGCCACTAATTAATACACTAGTTTTATCAATTTTCATTGGCATAAATTTTTGTGCAATCAGCGAATGATTCAGTATTTCGTAAACACAGGTCATCATAAACCTTTTTGATATGCTTCTTACTTTAATGACCATCAAATTCTATTTTAATTTTCACTCTGCAAAACAAACAAAAACAAAAAAAAAAAAAACAAAACAAAACAAAAAACAAAAACAAAAACAAAACAAAAATTAATGTTTAAGGAATGTTGATGTATTTTATATGATTGGATTTGTAATGAGATAAGTGGTTGAGAAGACTACAATATGGGGAGGCAGGACTTTATGTATCTGTAACTAAAGTTACTCCCCCTGCTCAAATAAAGAACAAGCTAATTTTTAGTAGTAGTAATATTTTAATACGTAACAAGGAATATTTGTCAAACACTGATACCAATGTTTTGCAGCTTATTGCCATGATAATCAAGTCTCTAAAAAGGGGGTTAAACTCTAGAGTCTAGGGTCATTACGTAATACCGGTAAATTTTTGTTATACATAAAGAAAATTTATAAAAACCAAAGCACTAAATATTTTTAAATGCTATACATGTATATAGTTAATGTTTGGAGAGAGAGAGAGAGAGAGAGAGAGAGAGAGAGAGAGAGAGAGAGAGAGAGAGAGAGAGAGAGAAATCGAAAGTATAGGCCAACTCAAAAAATTGGGGTATATTTCGGATTACTCTAGCACAAATTGTGGTAAGGCATGCATGGATCAAATGGGATCCGGATCCCTGGAAAATTCAAATTTATTTGAACTGACATAGTAAAATTACTAAAGCTTTGCCTCGGACCTCTTCCCCTTGCGATTTGAGCCAACACCTCCTAGGGAAAAATTTCTGGATCCACCCAACAAAAAAATACAATCGGGCTCGGGCTGTCGACTTGAATATAACCGATAATGCTTAAATCATAAAGAAAATCGATGTCATTTGAGTGTTTTAATGCAGGGAGAAAATACTTTTGTGATATCGGGTTGAGATGGACGCGCTGGCGCGCCGACGCGCCGAATACAATTAGCCAACAAATCTAGTTAACCCAGTTTAAGACAATTGTGGAAATGTTAAATTTGTTTTATTTACATGAATATCATAATGTGGTATTGTACATCTTTCGTCGATATATAACTCCCATTGTGGAAATGATTCATATATTTTATAATACTGACATGATATTGTAAATGCTCCCTGACGGCCCTTGATTGGTGAATAAACAATAAACATATAGTAATAAGTTTATAAACAAAACAGAACACACGCCTCACCCACACCCATCCTCAATCGGTTCCTGTATTTTTTTGAAAATGAATTGGGAAAGGCTGCTGGTAATAATTTAAAGAGCAAAAATTTCCCGCCAATACTGAAAGACATTCGGGGACCATTGGATTTTTTCCTTTAAGTGAATCCCGGAAGTAGCGCGGAAATTATTTTCTGACAGAATTCAGGAAGTGAAATGTAGTAGATGGGTCGTTTTTCTTTATGTCGAAGATATAAATATGAATCGACAGCAGATATGAACGGAACCCGAGAATCTCGAAGTTCGAATTCCTACGACTGGACTCAAGATATCCAGTTACATGGTTTGTTGTATAAGAAGCCAATTAATCACCAGAGTAACAAATGGACAAAAAGGTAGGTCCTTACACCTGTTTGATAAATACTTCCTTACCAAGATCTAGCAAGACAGCACCGTCTCTGTAGTCCGAGTTAATCTTTCAACAATGTACAACTTACTTTTGATTTACTCATTTTGGTGATTTGTTTTTTTTTTTTGGGGGGGGGGGGGTTAAATTATGAGAATGTGGCACTTGATTATATCGCATGTTAACACAACACAATATCCCAGACAGTAAACATGCAGATAAAGAAAATTTACTTTGAAAGTAATTAAGGAATGCTTTGAAAAGTGAGAGAAGAACATCGAATGGTACATATATGTTCTTCTTCTTTATAAATGAAAGTGTTGATACCAATATCTTGTGACTATCCGCCCCTCCCCCCAACCCTACCCCTTTTCTCTATATACTGTGTGTGATTTCAAGTATAATTATTTCATCTGGTGGTCAATGTAAAAATCTTTGTATGTACAATTTGAAATGCATTTGTATAAATATCCACATTGAACATGCTCAAACTTCATGTAATATTAAATTAACCCCATTTATTTCACTTTCACTTGATAAATGGGATTTTGTGAACACTTTTTAAGTGTAACTTGAATAATAATCTCATAGCTTTAGAAATATGCCCATTGTTTGTACTGCCTGTCCTACAGGTAAATGGGGGTCATAATAAGTCATAGTCCATTGATTTATTAATTTGGTGTTTATATGTGTCATGGTTCATTGAACAGCCATAAAGTGTTGACTCTTACACTGGTGCAATGTGCCATCCATCACACTAGGTAGATTACCGTTTTCATTGGCATGTTTTCAAAACAATCCCAAGATAATATCATGAAACAGTTCCCTAGACTTCGGTTCCAATGAATCTGAATAAAATGACTGATTATCTTTTAGAGTGTAATTCAAAATTGTCTTCAGATGATCCTAAACTAATATGCCCTAAATTATTGTAATGCAGTCATACAGTACTTAAAAAAAAAAGCAACCATAATTTCACAAGTATGACCACATGTAAATATTTGAAAATAAATAGTCACTCTTATGAGAAGAACTAGAGTATTCCAAGTAATGCATGTGTTGCCTGCTTTGTAGCTTCAGCTACAAACCAATCATCATTCAATTCATAAAAAGCTTGATATAGGAATGCATGTGTTGCCTGTTTTGTAGCTATAGCTATTGGATCAATCTATTTTATACTTTGTTTATGTTGATATTATTTTGACAAAGATGTTCACATAAAACAAATTGTTAAAAAAATTGTTTATGCTCAAGTACCGGTACTGATGAGTAAATAATGTTCTGCACTTACATTATTAGTGACTATGACATAGTTAAACAAAGTCATGTGACCATGTGTCCTTCTTCCCCTTTAATGTTTAACATTACTCTTTTCATCTTTACTCTACTTATACTAGATACACTACATACACTCAAATTACTTTTTATAAAGTCTTAAACAGACTGAACACTGTACAATGAAAACCAGTGAAATTTTACTACTCAATATTAAAACTATTTATAGAAACACAAACTATACAAACACTACCAATGAAATAAACATTTACAGCAGTAGCATAACAAAAAAGCATGTTAGCTGAACCACATTACTGGAGGAGCTTAAAGAGTGACTGTGAACAGAGCAATAAATATAATGATTAAATGAACTTGTAATCACCTCAGAAGTTGATCATGTATCTTGTTTTGAGAATTTGGGGGGGGGGGGGGGGGGGGAATACGAAAAATTAAGATGATTTGAAATTAATGTTACACAAAAGAAAATAAAAACCCTATGCATGATGGAGTGTAACACAGCAGCGAAGGGGACAAATCACCAACTATGTCCAACAAATACTGTGATTGAAAAGAGGCTCCATAACGGGTAGAAGTTAAGAGGTCCCTTAAGGATAAAACACTATGGTTATAAACTAAATAATAAATATGGAGTAAATGTGACAGGTATCTGCTGACTTGTCAAGTGAATTTTTACCTCACCTCAACGAAGTTGGGGGAGCTTATGTAATACCCTCGGCATTGGTGTCAGCATCCCAGGTGAAAGTTTTTGGAGCAGATTTCTTTTCAAGTACTTCTATGCCCTATATTAAACAGAAGTGCATGTGGATGCTTCTACAGGGGTTCAAAATTTTTTTTTATCATGGTCAAGTCCAGGACTTAAAGAGTAAATTTTAGGCAAGTCCAAGGAAGAAATTTCTGAGTCCATATTTTCATGATAGATAAAATTATATTTACTTAAACCATCATTAAATTTATGTTATAATTTATTTTCATTTGTTGCATTGAATTAATAAAGACTATATGTATGAATATATGTTTTATTTTTTAATCGGTTCGATTCTCAGGTTTGTTGTTCCTCTAGTCAATGCATTTGACTTGTCCGCCGTAATCGGAAAACTTTGACAAAATGAACAAAACATCGTTTTCGTATCGTCATTGTAATCAAGCCACGGCCTATCATCACGCCAGTGGCTTTGGAATTCGCAAACTCTCTTCTTGTCATAGGTTCCGTCTTTGGAATTGTTATTTTGATCCCCAGCTTCATGTTCCTCACGGGGTCTTTTATTTCTCGTTCGGTTCCTTTACTGGTAAAACCAAAATTTAACAAACTCATGTCATATGGGAGGAAACATGAGAAATTGCGTAAAAGCAGGTGTCTAACCGCAACGGAACATAAAAAGACGGATTGTATTTTTGAGACGTTCGTAATGTTTTGTGGGTATATTAAAGCCAAAAAATCCACATTTTTATTCAATACATTTGAGAATTTGCTTTAATTTTAGTTTTACGAACTTTTTTCTTAACTTAAATAAAAGATAAACAAGAAACATTGCCAAGTCCCAGGACTTTTGGCGATTCTAAATGCCGAGTCCGGATCCGGAATTTGTTAGTCCGGGACGTCGGGCTTGAGGAATTTTGAACCCCTGCTTCTAGTGTGTTTCATTGTACCAGTCAAGGTTTCAGATGTTGCAATTTCAGCTGAAGAATGACAAGGTTAATGTTTTTGGAGCAGGTTAAAGTTTTTGGAGCAGGTCTCATTTCCAAGTAACTATAAGCCTTATGTTGACCAAACTTGCATGGATGATACATCTAAGGATGCACACTACCAAGCTTGCTTCGGATGCTGGATCTGACCTACATTTTCCGGTTGAGTGACCAGGTTAGATTTTGGAGCAGATCTCATTTCCAAGTAATTGTAAGTCCTATGTTGACCAAACTTGCATGGATGATACATCTAAGGATGCACACTATTGAACTTGCTTCAGATGCTGGATCTGACCTTCATTTCTGGGTGAGTGACCAGGTGAAAGTTTTTGGAGCAGGTCCATTGCCAAGACACTATAAGGGCTTTCTGAACCAAACTTGCATGGGTGATGCATCAAGGGACAAACACTCTCAAACTTGCTTCTGATGCTGGATTTTACTTACATTTTCTGGATGAGTGACTAGTTTAAAGTTTTTAGATAAGTCCATTCCCAAGTAACTGCAAGCCCTATCAGACCAAAATTGCATAAATGTTGCATCTGGGGATGCACACTACTAGATTATTAGTTTAGTGTGGGACTTTGCCTTACTTAAAGACAACATTTGTTGAGATGAGCTTTGTAATATCTGATTACCTTTTTTTTTTTTTTGGAATGCCACTAGACTGAAATATATGACATCTTCCAGGCATTTTTCACGATTTTGATATGTGATGTGCCAGGAAAACATTAGAACCTGCGCCATTATGAAAAGTGGAAATTTTGCTCCCCCCAACTAAACTCGATTTTTAATACTTGCAAGTTGAATTAAATGTCAAACCTACAATTTATCAATAGCACAATGCTTCTAGTTCTTACCAATATCACTGATAAAATATTATATAAATACTGCATGTAGTTGAGTGCGCCTCGGTTGACAATGGTTTTCTTGGGGTGAAAATTTTCAATGTTACACCCAACTACATGCAGTATTTATTATATTATACTGAATGTTTTATACAAGTTATAGTTACACTATAGATATTAATTGGTTAGTGGTAAATACACTCACAGTTTTTCATTCACGAGGGGCGGAGTATTTACCGCTAACCAATTAATATCTATTGTGTAAGTTACTTGTACCAGAGGACCAATGAGAGAAAAGCAAGTTGATAATCAGCACCGCCTACTACGAGGTGTCAAGCCACGGTCCGTATATATAAGCTGTCTCCATCTGCAAGGATCATATTTAGCTGCGTCACTGCTACCTAATTTGTTGATAAAAGATTCAGAATTGGTACCTGTGAAGATATTGTACCTTTGGAATGTTGAAGACGCAGAAAACATGATCTTTGTCAGGAACAGGTACAGGGGTAGCGATTGTAGGCTTCATTGTAGATTGTAGGCTTTTATATTCAAGTCATGAAGTCTGAAAGAAAATTTATCTTTCTAGATCGTTTTTTTTTAAAAGGGGGGGGGGGGGGTATGGGAAACATCGCCATTGAACTTTTTCTATATGGCAATCAGCCTGCTGAAAAAAATGAAATGATTTTTGACATTTTAATGAAAGTTTGAAATGGTATTGGAAGTAAAAAAAAAATGCGGGGACTTCTGATGTGAAATTGCTATTTGTATTTGGAGACGGGAAAGAGATTGACGAGAACTCGAGATAGGACGTATCATTTACTGATTAAGGATACGCGGAGAAAACATACAGAAACATTTATGAAGCTAACATCGACAAGCTAATGTTAGTATTTTTGAAATTAAAAATGTTGACTTAATTCATTCATCGATCAGCCAGGTCTGGAAATTGACATCATTCATTCATCAGTCAAGGTCTTGTCACAGTATGGCTTGATGTCAAAAGGTGGGCGTGACTTAAAAAAAACTGTGATTCTTCTGGCAAATACACTACAGCAACATCAAAGCAAAATATAAATTTACCGCCAGTCCTATGGTACAAATACATATTACAGTGAACCTTGCGCGCATAAATTCTGCGCAGTCAATATTTTTTGGAATAACACCTGTCGTCAAGCAATGTTGACTGTTGCTTTGTTGGAGGGCGTGGCTTCATCATTCAGCGGGTAATAGTGTTTTTTATGCCCCGCCATGAATATGGCCGGGGCATATAGTGTTTGTCATGTCCGTCTTCCGTCCTTCCGTCCTTCCGTCCTTCTGTCCTTCCGTCTGTCCTTCCGTCACACTTTGCGTTTAGCTCTGTTCAAAGCTCAGTTTCAAAGAAACTATCCAAGATATTTTTATCAAACTTCATATGCTGATAGATATTGATGAGGGCTATGCAACAGCATCAACATTTTTTGACCTTGACCTTTCCTTTGACCTTGACCTCACTTTTCTTAAATTAGTGTTTAGCTCAGTTTTAAAGATACCATTCAAGATAGTGTAATGAAACTTCATATGTTGATACCTACTGACGTAAGCTATTCAACTGCATCAACATTTTTTGACCTTGACCTTTCTTTTGACCTTGACCTCACTTTTCTTAAATTAGTGTTTAGCTCAGTTTTAAAGATACCATTCAAGAAAGTGTAATCAAACTTCATATGTTGATACATACTGATGTAAGCTATTCAACTGCATCAACATTTTTTGACCTTGACTTTTCTTTTGACCTTGACCTCACTTTCCTTAAATTAGAGTTAAGCTCAGTTTTAATGAAACCATTCAAGATATTTTTAACAAACTTCATATCCTGATACATACTGATGTAACCTTTTCAACTGCATCAACATTTTTTGACCTTGACCTTTCCTCTGACCTTGACCTCACTTTTCTTAAATTAGTGTCAAACTTCATATGCTGATACATACCGATAAGAGCTATTCAACTGCATCAATATATTTTGACCTTGACCTTTTCTTTGACCTTGACCTCACTTTTCTTAAATTAGTGTTTAGCTCATTTTTAAAGAAACCATTCATAATATTTTCATCAAACTTCATATGCTTATACATACTGATGTAACCTTTTCAACTGCATCAACATTTTTTGACCTTGACCTTTCCTCTGACCTTGACCTCACTTTTCTTAAATTAGTGTCAAACTTCATATGCTGATACATACCGATGAGAGCTATTCAACTGCATCAATGTTTTTTGACCTTTACCTTTCCTTTGACCTTGACCTCACTTTTCTCAATTTGTGTTAAAATGTTGCATTACTAATATACCCTCGGCGGGGCATTCATGTCCTATGGACATATTTCTAGTTAACAAATGTTTCTCGATGAATCAGATTCAACTTTAAATTTACATGGAAGTATAATAAAAGAAAATATCACTTAACATTTCGATACAGGTCTCATGAGATTTCAAAATGCACGAAATCAAAACAAACCTCGACTGTTTTATAAAATGTTTTCACCTGACACTTTATATTACAAAGGAACAATAAAAGCAATATAGGTAAGTACTAGAAGCATTGTACTGTTGTACCCTGATGATAGGATGTGAGTTAGACATTTAATTCAGTTCACATGTATCGAAAATCGACTTGAGAATTCTGCCTCCATTTGAAGGCAGCAAATTTCCACTTTTCACAATGGGGCCACGGTTCTGACGTTTTCCTGGCATGTCAAATATCAAAATCGTGAAAAATGCCTGGAACACCTAAGATTTTTTTAATTTAACTAGAATGCCACAAGCTGGCTTCCACAGTTCCATAATTCAAAGGAGGAAAACAAATGCCTCAGCTTCTCATGAAAATGATTGATATGATGGCCTTCTGTTAAAAACTCAGCCCTTTACCTCTCAAATAACATGAGAAATGATTTCATGTGACATTCCTTTATATAATGTGCATTACAAAGAGGCAGATTTAAGTGAGATTTTTAAAAGGTATATCCACAGAGGCAAAAATACATTTGCACTTGCTCCAATGGTCACACTTTTAAATATATTAGATAACAAGGAAATATGGGGTAATTAGATTTTGTGAAATGAAGTCCATGTATTTCCTCCTTGTATTGAATGAGTCAAGGGACTTCCAACATTCAGGATGAAGTTATTAATCTTTTGTTGATCTCTTAATCTAGCTGACTGATAATTGTTTATTCTCTGTTCAGGTATTTTGTGATAAAAGATGGTTTTTTGCTGTACTACCCTGACACAGAGAAAAAGGATCTGGAGAAGAGGAAATGTCTTAATGTTCACCCAAAGGTATCAGACAACTAAAGCTATTGGTCTTATAAACTTATCATACCTTAGTTAAATTCCTAACAAAGAAGATTTCCACTTCCTCTCTTGATGTTTATTTGGACTCTTTTCAATGTATATCATGTAATTTGTTGACATTTCCTCCATGAAGAGGAGGATGTGATCTGTTTTTTTTTTTCATTTACCATTTCAGCCTCCATTTGAAGGAAAAGAAATCCTATATAGGTTCAAAAGTGGGGCATTATAAAAGCATAATCAAAGATTGCATGATTTCCACTGTGTATTAGATTTTTATGTATATGGAAAATTAATTTAAAAAAATATGAATATGTATATTTCTTTATTGTAATACCTCTGAAAATTAAAGTGAACACTGCTGTATGTATTTTGACACTTTCTGAGGGATAGAAGTCAACAGTAGGGGATTGAGCGATATATTTCTCAACCAAGCAGGGGACACTTATATGTATCGATATTGGTCTTATTCTTATCAGTTTTTAGGTGGTTTGAAGCAAACATTTATCTGTGATACTTGTTATTTTAGTGCAAGAAGAAGTATGCAAATCTTTTAAGAGATTATACTCTACGTATGTGCAGGAAGGCAGTTGAAATATAAGAAAAAAGACATTTTTAACTTTATTTAATTAAGTTGGTAGGGGAAGTGATAAAGAAACTGGACATTATTATTTTTTTTTTTTTGCACAAAAATCTGTGAAATTATTAGTATATCAAAAAGCATAAGTGGGTCTTGAACTGAAACAAGCTGGCCATAGATTTACTATAAATGTTGTAATATGACAAATATTTGTTAACATATGTATTTGAAAAGTTGAATGAAATATTTCTTATGATAAAGAGGTGTACAAATCTACAGAAAGGAAAACAAATCAATAAAAATTTTACAAATATTCATGGATTTCATGGGTCACCCTTACCCATGAATTTACAGGCCCGTAGGAAGCAATTTCAGTTTTGGAGGGCACAGCCATACATTTTTCAGTTGACAGTTGAGGGGGCACTACCAAAAATTTCCTGACAAGCAAAAAAAAAAAAAATCAACTACCAAAATTCCTTAACAAGCAAAAAAAAAAAAAAATGGTCATCAGACGTTTTTATTGAGGGGGCACAAGCACATATTATCTATGTTTACTATAGTAATCTATCTGCAAAAGTATTTGGGGGGGGGGGCACAGCGTGCCCCCCTGATTCCTACGGCCATGATTTACATCGCCATGAATGAATTTACTTTGTCATTGTAATGGTTTAGCAAATCTTCTGTTCAAACAAAATACCCTCAAAACTATATGTCCCATGAACCATTAAAATTTTGATTGCCCAAACATTGACCCACACAAGTTAAAATGATTCCACAGTATATGTGATTGGTGACCATGCATTCTTCTGCCTGCAAACATATGATTCTGTTTGTGATAATTCTTTTATATGGGACAATTTTATACCAGATATTTAGGCTCTGTTTCACTTGTGGAAGCAAATGTTACCAGGTGTTTAGTGATTTAAAAAGGCAGTGTATTGTATTCTTTTAAAGGGAATTATCCCCCTTGGAGAGTGTTCAATTGAAGTGGTCAGTGAGAATGGACAGCCCCATGCCTTTTGTGTAGAGAGTGCAGAAATAACTGTAAGTATTTATACCAACCAATCAAAACTTAAATAAAAGGTTTTGTATTAAAATTCAGCACTAGGTCTATGAAATAAAGAATCTTCTGAGAGGTGTATTGGATTACTTGAGATTATTTTAATGAATATCAAACAGGAACTCCTTAATGAAATATTTCTAGTGCATTTTATTTTTTCGTACAACAATGTGGATAATTATCAACAATGACATCACTGGTACTGGTCTTTAAATTCTCTGAAACATTTTATGTAGACAGAAATTAAAGCAAAATTTTATAGTTTAATAAATAAATTTAAAAGGTAGTGAGAGTCTTTGGGCTTTAGGAGAAGACATTTAAGAAAATGATGTTGGACAGAGAAAAGTCCAACAAGCATTATTGATGCTCCACCGACTGATAATACCTATATTGGTAATTAATTAAGGGGGTGTTCTAGTCCAATGTAAGTAAAACATTCTTGAAAAACTGCCCAGTAAACAATCATTTACTGGTACATGATGTGTTTCACTTTTAAAATACTGAAGAAAAAGTCATATGAACCAAAGGGACATACATTGATGTAGATTTTATTTTTCTTGCCTCAAGGTCAATGTAAGTATATATTTTGCATATGATGCATATCATTTCTCCTTGCACTAGCTCCTGTGTCATATTATAATATATAACAATATACTGTGTATAGTTTACTTTTTTTATTATTATTTCTGATATCAAAGTCCCATATATAGTACATGTACAAACAATGTATGTTTATATGCAAATAGACCCCGTAAAATTTAAAATAATTATATACATATATAATTATATATATATAAATATATATATATATATCTGGATGACTGTAGCAGACACTAACTAGACAGATATCTTTAGATAGACACTTAATAGACAGTTATCTTTAGATTATCCTGAGATGAAATTTAAACCTTCTGTCTTTAAAATAAAAACACTATCATGGAACAGTTTCAGAGCAGCAACACTTTGTATGTCCATTTGAACTACATACAACACTTATATATACAAATTTAGCTTCCCCCTTTTCCCATTTCAATTCTGTTATGAATCATTTAATTTTGTCATCCTTCAATAGCTTATTTAATTTGGATCTAACATAAGTACTTTTCAGAGTTTTTTTTTCTTTTTTTTTTGGTTCTCTAAGATTTTCTGGGGGAAAACTGATCAGATGTCTTTGATGTTATTATTTTTTGGAGGAGACAAAGTTTTTTTTTGGAAAACAATCTTAATATATGGAATATGTTATTGATAAAGCATTTTTAGCTCACCTGAGCTGAAGGCTCAAGTGAGCTTTTCTGATCACATTTTGTCTGTAGTCCGTCTGTCCGTCTGTAAACTTTTCACATTTTTGACTTCTTCTCCAGAACCACTGGGCCAATTTCAACCAAACTTGCCACAAAGTATTCTTGGGTGAAGGGGATTCAAGTTTGTTCAAATGAAGGGCCACGCCTTCTTCCAAGGGGAGATAATTAAGAATTCGTGAAAAATTAATGGCATCATTAAAAAATCTCCTTCTCAAGAACCACTGTGCTTGAAAATATGAAACGTATGTGGAAGCATCCTCAGATAGTTAGATTCAAATTTGTTCAAATCATGACCCCTGGGGGTCAGGTGGGGCCACAATGGGCGATCAAAGTTTTACATAGGAATATATAGGAAAAATCTTTAAAAATCTTCTTCTCAAGAACAGCAAAGCCATGATTGGTCATATTTATATGGTAGCATCCTCAGATAGTGTAGATTCAAGTTTGTTCAACTCATGAACCCCAGGGGTCGGGTGGGGCCACAATGGGCGATCAAAGTTTTACATAGGAATATATAGGAAAAATCTTTAAAAATCTTCTTCTCAAGAACAGAAAAGCCATGATTGGTCATATTTACATGGAAGCATCCTCAGATAGAGTAGATTCAAGTTTGTTCAAATCATGACCCCCAGGGGTCGGGTGGGGCCACAATGGGCGATCAAAGTTTTACATAGGAATATATAGGAAAAATCTTTAAAAATCTTCTTCTCAAGAACAGCAAAGCCATGATTGGTCATATTTATATGGTAGCATCCTCAGATAGTGTAGATTCAAGTTTGTTCAAATCATGACCCCCAGGGGTCGGATGGGGCCACAACAGGCGATCAAAGTTTTACATAGGAATATATATGAAAAATCTTTAAAAATCTTCTTCTCAAGAACAGAAAAGCCATGATTGGTCATATTTATATGGTAGCATCCTCAGATAGTGTAGATTCAAGTTTGTTCAAATCATGACCCCCGGGGGTCGGGTGGGGCCACAATGGGCGATCAAAGTTTTACATAGGAATATATAGGAAAAATCTTTAAAAATCTTCTTCTCAAGAACAGAAAAGCCATGATTGGTCATATTTATATGGTAGCATCCTCAGGTAGTGTAGATTCAAGTTTGTTCAAATCATGACCCCCGGGGGTCGGGTGGGTCCACAATGGGCGATCAAAGTTTTACATAGGAATATATAGGAAAAATCTTTAAAAATCTTCTTCTCAAGAACAGCAAAGCCATGATTGGTCATATTTATATGGAAGCATCCTCAGATAGTGTAGATTCAAATTTGTTCAATTCATACCCCCCCCCCCCCCCCCCAACCACTTTTATATTTAAACTTTTCAACCTTTCAAGACTGAACTGATTTCTGCTTTTTCCTAGCCATAGTGCTCAGGTGAGCGATGTGGCCCCTGGGCCTCTTGTTAAACTTTTAGGCTAATTAAGTTGCCTCAGTGTTTATGCTAAAGTGCTTTAAAGTTCGTATAAAGCAGTGTGTTTTAAATTATCAGTGCTTCATAAAGATACCAAAGGGGAACACGTTTGGTGTGCTGATAGGGCTATTTACAAAAGTGCATAGGTGTGTTAGTAACATTACTGCACTGTTGTACACTACACGCCGTCACGCTAACTCAACTTTCCACAACATGACATCACGCTAACAGAAAACACGCTGTCATGCTTAACATGCTGTCAGGCTAACACAAAACACACAGTCACACTGATGCAACTAAATACAACATGACATCGGGCTAACGCAACTTTACTTAATCCGTTGCTAAATTTAAGCTGGACAGCATGTTGTATATAGTTCCATAAGCATTACGGCGTGTTTTGTATTATCACTATGGCATATTATGTAAAGTTGTGTTAGCATGATGGCATGTCGGTGATAGCAAGCATGACAGCAAGTTGTGCAGAACATGCCAATGGATTGTTCCTAACGCACTGTTGCACTTTTGGAAATGGCCCTATTGGGATACCATATACTGGGTTTATGGGCTTTTGATTTTTTCTACTTCATTTTAACTCTTTGGAAAGTTTCAGGCTATTTGTAAACATATGTGTATCTAATGCTGTGAATATAGTTTTGAGGGGGAATTTATAGATATTTGTCTGCATGGGGTTTATACTTGCATGAAACTTAGTCAATAGATGTGTGGATCACATCTGTAGCATTTTCTAAAAAAAAAAAAGAAGAGAAAATGATAATTAAAGAGTGTGTCCCTGTTTTAGAGTGTCAGTTATCTTCCCTTTGTTGAGAGAATGTTCACCCTCCTTTGCTAATATTTATAGTAAACACAGTGGTTTATACTGCTATTTCATATATGCTTTTATACAACTTGCTTTTTCTTGTTTTGGATATTTGTAATTTTTTTTTATCATAGAAATATTACTATTTGTATTTGGTTATGTTGTTTATTATTTGTTTATATTATTAATTATGTTGTTTTTTATTATTTGTTCATTAAAGGGCAAACTTCTGTTGGCAGCTGACAGCAGCTTTGAGCGAGACAAATGGATTGATATGTTAAAGAAATCCAAACGCATGTTTGTATACTCACTACCTAAGTGACTTAAAGTAGTGTCAATCTTTACTTAGTACTCACATAGTAACATTTCTACTGTTTTTTTATACATGTACAGTGAAACTTGTCTAATTTGGATGTTGTGTATTCGAAGTCTTGTCTAATGCGATGTAACATTTAATTCACTTTAAGTAAATTCAATTGTTTAAAATGTCTAATCTGAAATGTTGTCTAATCTGAAATGTTGTTTAATCTGGCCAAGTTCTATGGAACCAGTGGTGTCCAGATTAGACAAATTTTACTGAATTATACATACAATGGCTTTATAAGTTTGATAAAATAACTATAGTGACTGCATTTAGTCAGAGCAAAGATATGCTTATTGTAATATAAGTGCATTAATATTGCATTATTGCATCGAGAATTAGTTGTATGTGTAGGTAGTCATTAAAATCAAATGGAAATAATAGTATCTGACTTTTTAAGACATTTGAAACAATTTTGTACAGTATCCAACTGATTTTTGAAGAATATTATGAGCATATTAATTTTGTATCCATTTCCTTCAATGTCATGTTTCAGTAGGATTAATTTCTATGACAGTGACTTCCCAAGTTACATACAAGTGAATCCCACTGAAATAGACCAAGTTTTGACATGTATGACACAAGCATTTTTTAACAGAATAAATTGTTTTATGATAGATTGATGTTTTTTCCTGTAGAAACTGGAAGAGTTCTAAGCTTGCTGATGAGATGATTCACCAGTTAGAAGAACAGGGACTTCAAATGGCCAAACAAAGGCAGGATTACTTTGGTAAGTTACCAGCTATTTTATACATATGTAACCTTGAATTGACACCAAGGATATCTGTACAAGACAATGTCAGACATGCTATTTAAGAGGTTACTTGGATGGAGTAATCCATATCCGTTTTAAATTTCAGACCAGCTGCAGTCAGAAGTGATGGCATTATCAGACGAGAAAGAGAAATATGAGGTACTCTATCTACATGTCATTGTAAACCTCCCCCCACCACCACCACCACCAATTGAAAAATGAGGGGGTTCTGTCCATTACACTTCCATACGTTCATCTGTTACTTTTGGCCATTAAACTCATATGGGAGAAAGGGGTATCATTTTTTAAGCTCAGTGCTCACAATGGCTATAGTTATCCTCTCATAACAAAGTTGGAGGGGATATAGTATCCCGCTTGTGAGTGTCGGGTTCGTGAATGTGTAATGGAAGTGATGATTTACATCAGGATGAGTGTCATTTGTTGCCTTGCTGAATTGAATAAAAACAAAACAGACATGAGAATAGGTACTTTAACATTATTGTTCTTTTTTTAATGTTAATATGTGCAATCATGTCCGCTATTATTTTTTCCTCAACTCAAAGTTAACTGCTTACTGTAAGTATCAGGGGTAAATATATCACAAATGTTAAAAGTTTTAGAGATTAGGTGAAATGTTTTAATAAATATGAAGGAATTAAATAAACTATGTAAACATTTATGTTTCGAGAATAGCAACATGCATATTCATAAAAATTCATGTAAAAATATCACAATATTTTCATGATATTTTGGGGGGAAATCGTGATATATCACAATACAAGATTTTTGGCGATACCCATCCCTAATTAGAATTTTGTATGATACTGCCTTTTACAAACAAACGTTTACTTTTGTTATGCCTCGCCATGAGTGTGGTCGTGGCATATAGTGATTGTCATGTCTGTTTTCCTTTCATCCTTCTGTTATTCAACTACATCAATATTTGTTTACCTTGACCTTTTTTTTTTATTTATACATAATTGACCTAACTTTTCTTAATTTTGTGTTTAGTTCAACTTCAAAGAAACTTTTCATGATATTATTATCAAACCTATATATATATATATATATATATATATATATATATATATATATATATATATATATATATATATATATATATATATATATATATATATAAAAAGAGGATATTCAATGTTTTGTAGATGAATATGGAATTTATTTCACGAGTGGGACAGGATTTTTTGATATTTTCACGAGTGCGAAGCATGAGTGAAAATATCAAAAAAATCCTGTCTCACGAGTGAAATAAATTCCATATTCATCTACAAAACATTGAATTTTCTGTTTATTACATTTTCTTTGATTTTCCCTTTGCTTCTGTCTTTTCTTAACACAGTGCGATAGGCTTGACGTCATAATTGAGCGGTTGAGACGTCATAGCTTAGCTATTGTGATTGAAAACATTACATAGCATGGATTTTAGCAACATATTTGGGAAAAAATTTGCAGTTTTAGCTCAATCAAGATGCTTAGTTACTATCTCTATCTATGACAGGCCAGAAATTATTTTTTACTTACTTTGATATCCTTTCACACCGTGAGAGAATATCATTTTGGTATCCTTTCACACTGTGAGAGAATATCACTTTTATTCAATAAATAAATCACAGTATTTCACTGTTGAAAATGTAATAAATATATATATATATTAGGGATGTCAATTTTGTCAATAATTCATATTCGAATATTCAATGAAAGTATTCGAATATATTCGAATATACGATAAAATAAATAAAATCTTTTATTTTAAGTATGTATCATCCTACTCTCGTGGAAGGTTTAGCGTAGGTATACATGTACTTATATTGGAAGTAAAATTGTATGAAGACTTTTGCAGTTGTTCAATAAGAAATTCCATTTGATATTTGTCAATGTTTGAAATAATTAATTGATTTAAATGTAGAAAAATATAATTTTAGCAAATGAAACATGTGTATTTATATTTTATAGTAGCTCCAACTGTGGGATATATTCGTAATGGTATACTGTTCAGATTTCAATACGTGTAATAAATTACAATTATCTGTCTAATAATAGATATATGTATGATTATAACCTTTGATACAATGTTTTTAAAATATAAACAAATATTTCCATAGACAATTTTCTTAGGTAATTAACTAATTCCCCAATAATGAATATAAAATTCAGGATTATGTACAACCCGAGATAATCAAGTAATTTACACATTTATTCTGAAATTGAGCCCTTTACAATATTAATTAAAGACTAGTTCTATTGGACATTCATTCAATGATCAATTAAATTTATTTTGATTAAGTATACTCTTCACGTCTTTTAGACATTCTAAGAAGGTTTTCATTTTGTCCTCGATTCTACATCCGATCGTATCTAACTAATAAAAACTATGAAAGTACGTTTTGTATTATACATAAAGTATTATTGTGCAGTTCTTTAACACCTTACTCAAAACAAAAATAAATGTAATTTAGTATATCTATAAGATAAGAAAGTATTGAAAGAAATCAGGCGATCGAAATTGATCGCTAGAAAATTAAACAGGGATAATTCCAGCACGGTTCTAATCAAAATTTATTAACCACAGTTCTTCTTTTTATGAAATCTGAAAAACACCGAATATTCGAATCTTAAATTCATATTCGAATATCAACTCATCGAATGAATATTCGAATGTTCGAATATTCGTTGCCATCCCTAATATATATATAGTGAAAGAGGGGTTATTAAAATAATCTGTATTATAGGAACTTGCAAGGGTTAATCAAGAGCTAGAAAAAGAAAAAGAGAAGATGGAAAAATACCAGACAGAATTAATGGAGGAATTTGAACAAGTAAAAAAGTAAGTGTTTCCATGGAAATGTTCCAGGAAAGAGAACATACACACACAGTAAGTAGTCAAGATGATTTACATTTAGTTACCAGTATATTTCAAGTATTGTATGTCACAGGATGTTTGACATTGATATATAAGGATACAATGGATGTACCAGCTACATGAATAGCAATTTTGCGAGAGCACCTGTGTATAGAAACACAATTCTGTTCTGTTTATATCCTGTAAATAATTAGTCACTGCTTTGTTGAAAAATTCTTCCTTTTGATATTAGGGAACTAGAGGAAACTAACCAATACATGCAGGATGTGGAGAAAGATAGGGAAGAACTCTCATCAACGATTTCCCAGCAGCAGGAAAATTTACAGGTTCAGCCCAATATTTCTTAAATCTCATTTTAATACAAAAAATAAAAATAATAAGGAAAAAATAAGCTAATAACAACAACAAAACATTACATGTACAGACAAGTGAAAAATGTGACTGTTTTTTGAAAAAGTGATCTGAATTAAATGTAAGAGTCAGACATTCCATGTCCTTCACAAAGAAACTAAGAAAAAAAGTGTCATTTCCAAGTTGAAACATAGAAGTAAACTTAAAGTGCGAAAGGGGAGGGGGGAGGTTAAATGCTAAGTGTTTGGATGACTTTGTATTTGGGTCATTCGAAAGTGCATTCTGACATACATAGAAATATGTAGGTCACTCCAAACACAGATACAAACTTCAATTTAATTAGAAATACTTCCCCTTCACTAGGAGTGAACCCAAAGGGGCCAATCTGAAGTACCAGTATATTTTTTGCCAAATAAAGACAATATTGCCATGAAAAATAAAAATCTTTAAACAATTAAACCATTGATGTCTGAGATGCATTTTGTTACAAAGGTAATGAGACAGTAGATTCTGTGTTTTTTTGAAGGATTTGAGTTGAAATGTCACAATTCATGAACACATGAAATGGCATGAACCGTTCATTTTTCGCTTATTAATTCCTGTGTTAAATTAAAGAAGTCTGTTTTGTTTTTAAGGAAATATATGAATCAGTTCATGAAAGTTTTTAAGAATATTCAGTACTGAAAGTAGAAACAAAGTGAGTGAGACAGAAGTTCTTTATTTAAAGGAATATTTTTTTTGTTTTTTTTAACAAAGTCAGTAAATGAATCAATGCAGCAGAGGATAAGTGGTTGTTAAGTCTGAGTAATGAATTATTACTTTGGTCAGAGCACATTACATGTACTATTTCTTTCATGCCTTCTTCTTACTATGTTAATTTCATTATTTATGTAATGGAAATGAAGGTTAAACTGAGGTCAGATTGAAGATTTATTGAAAGAAATGCATTGAAGTTTTATGCAAATGTAAGTTTTTTTCATACACATTAAGGAATGTACAGTATCATTCACAATATTTTTAATCAGATTTTGGCCAAAGAGAAGCACAAAATAATAAGTAATTTGGAAGAACAAGAAAACCAGAACCAGACTTTACAAAGCATGGAGGAGCAATTGAGGAAAATCGAAAACAAAATGAGTATCCTTCAAACTGAGAAAGCTGAAACAGAGAAAAGGTAATATTCTTAGATTTATTTTCTATAACCAGTGAATGTAATGCCAGGTAGTCATTTACAGTATAACACTAATATTAAGATTGAAAGCAAACCTGATGAGCCTTATGCCACACTTAAAAAACCTATAATATAGCACAATTAGATTTATAAATGGAATGATACACTTGTGTACTTACAAATACATGTAGCTGCAGATCTGTTGCTCACTGGTCTGAAAAATTTGAATGGACAGCCAGAGACTTTTTGAGTGCATGAAAATGTAGCTCTACTGTCATCCATCCAAACTTGTTTCAGAACAATGAACTACAAATCTGCAGCTACAGTCAATCAAGTTCACTGCGTAACATGAATTTAAACACTCTGATAAGATTTGCTCTACGATCTAGCAATTCAAGTAGTATTCTTCAGAATTATGTAAAAACATGAAATTTCACCTCTCAGAACAGATAAAACTGCATTGTGACATCTGTAGTTTATTATATACAGTTGGTTTTTTTTGCACTGCCATTCAAGCTATTCAAGATACTTTTATCAAACTTCATACAAAGATGCATTTTGGTAAGAGCAATTGCATGGTTTCATAATTTTTATGTTAACATGTCCTATGACCTTGACCTCACTTTTCATTTAGCTCAGTTTTAAAGAAACAAAGATATTTTATATAAACTTCATACAAAGATAAACATGGATGAGAGTTATTCAGCTGTGTCTAATTTTAAGGTCTCCTTAGTCACTCTCTGTTTTGTCTGTCATCGTCTTTCATGACGTGTGCTTTTCATGTTCATTTTCAGCTCCTTCTCGGGAACTGCTAAACCAATTTCAATCAATTTTGGATTATAGCACCTATGGGCAAAGGGGAGCAAAAATTGTATGGGCAAAGGAGAGCAAAAATTGTGAATTTCATGGTCTCTGTCCCCCTTGAGTCTGAGGGGTGGGGCCAAAACCATCAAAGTAAATGCAATCTTTAAAAATATTCTTCTTTAACAAACTTAAGGCATGTATAATACAGTAATAAGCATTGAAACCCCCAACAAAATTTTGAAATTCATGGCCCCAGGATTGAGTCCTGGTAGGGTTCTATTGATCATATACTGAAAATGCATAAAATCTTTAAAAAGTTCCCCCCATTCCATATTCAGCAGACAAAATAAGTGTAAAATTATGATTGGCAAGGGTGCTTCTTCAAAAAAAATAAATTTCATGGCACCTAGGTCAGGGGCTCTGGTGTAATGAGATTATGAGTAACATACATGTATATGCTTAATACCATGCTTTTAGAGAATGAATTAATGCATATAATAAAAGAAATGATACCTGAATTGAGCTACTACAAAGTGGCACCGTAAATCAAATATTTTTTCAAAGCATGGATCTACAGCTCTCTGGTTTGTCTGTCCCAATTTTCTCAACCAGACAGCTACAGTTTTGCACCTAGGGTTCTGGCTTTAGGACAGGGCTCTTTTCATTATATAGTGAAAATGCATTACTAGTATTTCATCTTCTTTGTTCCTGGGTATTAAGCAAACAAACTAAGTGCATGGTTATTATGAGCAAAGTTGCATCTTCCAAAATTGTGAAATTCCTGGGTTCCTTGGTCAAGGGTTCTGGTATTAGGGAGTTTTCTGTTGATCATATAATGAAATTGCAATATCACTTTCAAAATCTTCTTCTCTGCTCCTGGGTATTTAGCAGATAAACCAAGTGAATAATTAAGTTGAGAAAGTGTGCCTTTATCAAAATTGTGAAATTAAGGCAGGACTGTATTGACTTCACTTGATAATAAACAGTTAATCAGTGTTAATATGATCTCTATGAAGCTGGTTTACAATGTGTACAGTAGATGTATATCTGTGTACTTCAGGTTAAAAGAAAATGAAGACAAAGCCCTGTTATTAGAGGAAGAAAAGCAGCAGTTTAATGAGCAAGCCCAAGAACTGAATGAGACCATCAAGGTATCAAATCAAACATTATCTGTCACATGATCACATGTGATATCAATCACTGGTGGTATATATACAGCTTACTTGTGATTGCTAATCACAGGAAGCCTTTTGATGCTTGCATTAAACCACTTCAGTAAGACATACTGTGAAATCACTTACTACCTGGGGTTTAATTTTCATTGTTACTTGGGTTTTAATTTTCATTATTACGTGGGTTTTAATTTTCATTATTACGTGGGGTTTAATTTTCATTATTACATGGGTTTTAATTTTCATTATTACATGGGGTTTAATTTTCATTATTACGTGGGTTTTAATTTTCATTATTACGTGGGGTTTAATTTTCATTATTACGTGGGGTTTAATTTTCATTATTACGTGGGTTTTAATTTTCATTATTACGTGGGGTTTAATTTTCATTATTACGTGGGGTTTAATTTTCATTATTACATGGGTTTTAATTTTCATTATTACGTGGGGTTTAATTTTCATTATTACGTGGGTTTTAATTTTCATTATTACGTGGGGTTTAATTTTCATTATTAGGTGGGGTTTAATTTTCATTATTACGTGGGGTTTAATTTTCATTATTACATGGGGTTTAATTTTCATTATTACGTGGGGTTTAATTTTCATTATTACGTGGGGTTTAATTTTCATTATTACGTGGGGTTTAATTTTCATTATTACTTGGGGTTTAATTTTCATTGTTTTCATGGTATGAAGAGTCAAGAGACCAGTGAATTCATGTCCTCCATGAAATGAAAAATTTCAGCTATCTTACAACTCAACAATGCTTCAATCGCATCAAATCCTTTTTACCAATAAATTTTCCTCAAACCAGGAAAATTTTACCCCACAAAAATTTGTGATTTTACAGTACTGTAAATGTTTTAAAAGTTAAGTGATTGCATATTTGATATTATAAATAAAAATTGGTTAGAAATTAGGGCTGGGACGATACACTGAGATATTGATAATATCGATTCTGTGCAAAGACGATATGCATATCGATAAGTATGAAGAAATATCGAAATATCACCAAAAAAAATTCTGACTTATGTTTTTCTTTGTTTACTTAATATTTTGGGTTTAATATATAAAATAAATAGGAATATAAATATGAAATACATAATAATTAACACCACTTGTGTAAAATAATTTTGTTTTATAACAGATATACTACTTCTTTCAATAAATTATTCTTATTTGTGAAGAAATGTTTTGTTCATTTAAATACAAAAAATAGATTTTATAACCAATTCAACATATCGTGATACATATCATATCGTGGCTCAAATATTGTGATGCGTATCGAAATAGAAAAAGTTGCATTGTCCCAGCCCTATTAGAAATGGAGGATATTTTGTAAAATCTGTTCTGTACAGTAATATACAAAGAGAAATATTCTAGGATATCACAATTATTTTTTTTTGTTAGGATCTTAGAGCTCAGAAGGAGATGACAGAGGCTGAACTTAAGGTAGGTTATTAAATATCATAGTTCATTGTGAAATATGTTTGTAGTTCACTTGCTATAATACAACATGTTGAGGGGTGTGGTGAGGGCACAATATTTTAAATAGTGAAGAACTTTGTTTTTTTTTTTTAAACATATTATTTTTTAATTTCAAATAAAAAATAAAATTTAAAGTAGATTATTTTTAATTTCAAATAAAAAAAGAAGAAAATAAGATGAACCTAAATTGTTCATGAGATAGAAAAAAAGAAGTGAAAAAAAAACAATAATTTATAAAGAATTTAGACCCCATAAAAGATTTTCTGTCATTTTTGTAACAGGAAGAAGTGATGGCCAGAATGGATGCCGAGAGAAAACTCAAGGAAGCAGAAGAGTCGTTGAGGAAGCTCGGTGTCGCAGTGGATTCTCAGACTAAAATAATCAAGGAAGATGTTCATCAGGAAATGGTTATTAATGTCAAAAAATTAAAAGGTGAGATTGGCACTTTATAGATCTATAAATAGAGACAATTTAATGTTATATATGATGGATATGAGAAATAGTTTTTTTTAGCTCACCTGAGCTGAAAGATCAAGTGAGCTTTTCTGATCACCCGTTGTCTGTCGTCCATCCGTCTGTCTAGCTGTCTGTTTGTCTAGCTGTCTGTCCGTCTGTAAACTTTTCACATTTTCAACTTCTTCTCAAGAACCATGGAGCCAATTTTAACCAAAGTTGGTGCAGAGCATCCTTAGGTAAAGGGGAGTTTAAATTGTTAAAATGAAGGGCCAACCCCCCTGACAAGGGGAGATAATCAAGAAAGACAAAAAAAAGGGTGGGGTCATTAAAAAATCTTCTTGTCAATAACCACTGGGCCAGAAGAGCTGAAACTTATGTGGAAGCTTTCTGGTTTAATGTAGATTTTAAATTATTCAAATCATGGCCTCCGGGGGTAGGGTGGGGCCACAATAGGGAATCAAAGTTTTAAGTTGAATTAGTTAAAAATCTTCTTCTCAAGAACCACTGGGCCAGAAAAGCTGAAACTTATGTGAAGCCTTTCTGGTTTAGTGTAGATTTTAAATTATTCAAATCATGGCCTCCAGAGGTAGGTTGGGGCCACAATAGGGAATCAAAGTTTTAAGTTGAATTATATAGGAAAAATCGTTAAAAATCTTCTTCTCAAGAACCACTGGGCCAGAAAAGCTGAAACTTATGTGGAAGTATCCTGGGGTAGTGCAGATTCTAAATTCTTGAAATCATGGCCCCCGGGGGTAGGGTGGGGCCACAATAGGGAATCAAAGTTTTACATTTTAATATATAGGCAAAATCTTTGAAAATCCTCTTCTATAGAACCAATGGAACAGAAAAAGTGAAACTTATGTGGAAGCATCTTGGGGTAGTATAGATTCTAAATTGTTGAAATCATGGCCCCCGGGGGTAGGGTGGGGCCACAATAGGGAATCAAAGTTTTACATTTTAATATATAGGCAAAATCTTTGAAAATCTTATACTAAAGAACCACTGGGCTAGAAAAGCAGAAACTTATGTGGAAGCATCTCGGGGTTGTGTAGATTTTAAATTTATGAAATCATGGACCCAGAGGGTAGGAAACGGCCACAATAAGGAATCAAAGCATTACATTTAAATATAAAGGAAAAAGTTTTAAATATCTTCTTCTAATGAACCACTGGGCCAGAAAAGCTGAAACTTATGTGGAAGCATCTTGGGATAGTGTAGATTCTAAATTGTTGAAATCATAGCCCCTGGGGGTAGGGTGGGGCCACAATAAGTATTACAAAGGGGGGGGGGGATTTGGTGAAGAACAACAGGGCCAAAGTAATTCAGGTGAGCATTGTGGCCCTTGGGCCTCAGGAAGTTGTGAGTGTGTTTAAACATAATTTTTTTGCATCACAGCACAGTAGACTCATATTTATCTTAGTTAAAGAACATTGGTCAGAAAATTTAAAAATAGTACACTGTGTTATTACGTGTATTTTTTAAGAAATATATTCTTGCTTAAAGACTATTTTAAAAATTGCTTGATTTCTGTGGAAACAGATTTCTTTGAGGGACTTGCTATGGAAGCAAAAATAGATGAAGACAAGCCTATGATTGTGAAAAACTCCATCCATGCTCGAAAAACATTACAAAGAAGAGCCAAAACCAATAAAGTGAAAAAAGCACGCTCAAATAGTAAGTACTTTTTACTTTTTTGAGCAGTGAGTACCATTTTATTACTTGAGCAGTGTTTTGGTTGATTTCTCTAGCAGTAAGTACTTTATTTGATTTCTCAAGCAGTGAGTGCTTCGTTTTGATTTCTCAACTTGTAAGTACTTTGATTTTTCTTTTGCTTGAAGCAAAATATGCTTTGAAGAAAAAATCATGAAGCACTGCTGCTTTTAGATTAAATTCAGGGAATATGATTTGTTGGTATAAACAGATCTCTTCGCAGTGAAAAAAATTGCCAAATGGAAACAAATGTTGATAGGTACACTTATTGTACTTTATATTTCAGAATCTTATAGCATTGACTATGGTGAATTCTATGTTTTATATGTTTAAGGTATAAAACAATTTAGGTAGCCAGTCCTTTGTATTGTTATTTTAGAGTACCGGTAGTAGTCGTAGAAATCTCAGGTTATTTAACGGTCATTCTAAAAGGACACATTTGTTAACTTTAACAACCTTAGACAAACATGTTTTCAGAGATTCCCAGACCTAGTTAAGTGTTCTGTATATGTTCTCCCTAGCTGTAATCAACACTAATCTGAATGACTTACACACTTCCTATTGTGCTGGTATCAGACAATAAATTTAAGACATTTCATAATTTACATTTATTTACATTAAAATGTGAAGTATAATTTTCAAAGCAAGTACAAATTTACCAACTTGAATTATTTTTTTTCACAATAAGTGATTTCTGTATTTTGCCAGCATAGTTGTTAATGGTGTAAAAGTTTATAAGTTTTAATTCATCGTGTATTTATCATATGATAAAGGTGATTCACGGTATCCGAGACTAAGGTAAGCTGTGGTCTGGACTGTTTTTTTTTTTGTCACCAGCAGAGCAGAGTGACACTTAGGGATCACTTTATCCAGTGTCTGTCTGTCTGTCTAGCTGTCTGTCCATCTGTCACATTTTTTATCTTGAGAACTGTAAGACGTATGGATTTGATATTTTGCACATATGTTGCTTGGCATTTTGGCTTTTGTAAATTACCATGGTCACAGACTTGTTGACCCTTGACCTTTGACCTATTTTCAAAACATTGTGTAGGGCCGATATACAGTATATTTTTCACATTTAAGAGGTAAGTCTATGCTATTTAGCATATATGCACTGTTTGTCATAAAACATGAAAAATACCAACATTACAGTCCACTTGACCTTGACCTTTGACCTACTTTGCAAAAAATACTCGGAATAGTTTAATTTTACTAATGTCTTTTGAATTTTGAGAGGCAGGATTTTGATAATTAGCATAATTTAAACATGTTTATGAGCTCATGATACTTTACTTTGAAACTGTATGATATTCAGTTATCACACAAATATGAAAATATATCAGGATCAGTATTCCACAATGGATTGTGTAGACTGTTGATTGCAGTAAAGACTGACTGAAATCTCTTTCAGATGGTTGTTGAAAACACATATCAAAGAAATAATAAATTATTATTTCTTATAATTTCAATTTAATTATTCATTTGAGGATTGGGGAATTATATTTTCTTTGTCAGATTGCAGTCTTATGCTATCCGTGGATGTTTTTTTATTTCTTTCCAGGCAAAGGCATGATCTATTAATAAATAGCTGACCACTGTTTTATTTACATCTTTAATAAAGCTACAAAGCAGGTGACACATGCATTCCTTGGAACACTAGTTACCTTTCCTCTCAGAAATTCAATTTCTGATTAACAATCTAAAAATTTGAAGCAATTCAAAAGATTTTAAAATGTTAGTAAATTCTCCAGATTGTTTTTATTAATCATGTTCTTTATTGCATGGGTTAGAGGTTGTTTGTTTAGTTAGTGACATCTCATTGAAATGTTAATGTGATTTACATTATTATGGATAATGTACAGAGAAATTCTCATGTTAGTTTTCGACTGATGATTGGGATAATGGCCATTACTTAGATTCATTCTTTCTCATCAAAATTTTTAACAAAATCATAATTTCACAATATTCAAATGAAATCCCAGACTGAAAAAAGGTTTTATTTTATTACATTTTTTTGATTTTATACATGATATAATGATTTTATGTACTATATATAGGTTTGCGAGTGAAGTCATCCAGTTTTGATGAAGAGAAAGGTGACGGAATTGCTCCAATTCGTCGATGTGTAACAACCGTCAGGAAGAACTTTGCACAATCTCTTAACTTCCCGCTTGGAGGGGGTGTTAAATTGACAGAGGAGGAGTTTTTATGATTGAAAATTATGGCAGGTGCCAATTTCTAGCATAATGTTTTTCCGATATTACCGGTCGTGTAGGGTACATTCCGGTATAATTCAACATTAATTCAGAGACATTGCAAGTTGATACATGTACTGTATAAATCAAACATTTCCAAGATTTACATCCATCAAATTTCTGTCATTGCAAACCATTTTTGTCTGGGAGATTCTTTTATAAGACAGTTTGATAAAAAACATACTTTTCAACAGAACCTGTTTGCAATACTTGGTGCTGCTTTGTCTCATGTACAAACAATTACATGTACATTGCTGGAAGCAGAAAGAAAATCACAAATTCACTGATTGGTTTGTAAAAGATGTATTAATTCCAATATTCTTCTAAACATTTAATTTTATTTTGATGTGCTATTGAAAGTTGGAGTCTAATTTTTTTTGTCATTTTCTGTGCCAAATTAATGTGCTCATATAAGCAATGGTAAGACATGGTATTTATCATTCTGAGAATCCTAACATGCTTTTGCCATCAGGTAATTAGCTGGTTATAGGGATTCGGAACTCATTCAAATAGATTTTAATATTGTCTCATTTGCTTTCACAAGTTACTTCCCTTTTCTTAAATATACACCTATGTAATATATATGTGTGATAAAGAAAAGATGGGAAAACTTTTCAAAGAACTTGTTATTGTTATAAATCTTTGTACATATTTGCTTGTATAGTTTTTGTATGATGAATATATTGCCCCTTTTTCTTTTTTTTAACACTTGCACTTTGTGTCTGCATAAGAGAACTGTACATTCACCTATAATGAGTTTATGGAGAACATTTGATTTTGTTAATGGAAGAAATGATATGATAATTGTTATACCATATAAATTGTGATTGATCAGTGTTCTGTATGTTAACTTTGTCTCATTTTGACAATGGTGCTACTTACCCATATGGTATACATTGTGTATATTCTCTGACAAGAAAATTTAACTTGTAAATTTTGGGAGAAATAGCAAAGTTAAATGTGTTATGGTATAACGACAAACAAAACACACACACACACACACAACTTTGTTATTTGAAGGTGCTTTTTTCCTCCTTATATACATTTTTGTCTTTTACATTGTTTTAAAATCAATACATTCAATAAATCACTCATGAGCTGTGAGTTAAGGCTAGGTATAGGCATTTCTATGCAAATGAACTAATGAAAACACATATGGGCTGTACCTTTTTATACAAAGAATACTAAAACTTAATAATGCCTAATACATATTTGGTACCCACAGCATGTTATAGCCAGTGCACATTATGATGTCATATTATGACACCATTGTTCTTTACTACACAAGGATAGAAAGAACATCAACAAAAAAGCTTCGACGCAAGGGCATACCCTAATTTAATTTTACAGAAACAAGGTATAATTAGAAGCAGTATATTGCTGCACAAATATTGACAGTTTATTTGTTTAGTTATTATTTGTATAAAGTTTTGAGTTGAAATGAGGAAAAATGCACAGTCTAATGTAAGTTTCCTCAGATTCTGGTCAAATGAGAAATTGTATAGGATCTGTGCAGCAATTTCATTAATCTTCAGAATATTCTTCTTAGCATTATACATTATTTATGTTAAATAGAATAGGACATGCCTTTGTGCTGAACTGTTTTGTTGATGTGTTTTAATTTATTACCTCCAGTAGTTGAGAACTATGATGTCGTAATGTGTACTGGATATAATGTGTCATGTATAATATACATACTTAGTATCCACGACAATAAGAAAATTAATTTAAACTTTCTCTGCATAATGGATACATCTCTTATGCATTTTTATCAGTACATTTGCATAGAATCACTTTGCTGTTACTCACATGGATACCTACCGAGAGGAAATATGTGATAAATGTGGTAGGATAAGAAAATGATACCAAAAAAGAAAAGTAATGCTATCTTACCAAAACTGTAAAACAATAAGGTTCATTACCTCTGGACAGCTAGGGTTTCAGACAAACACAACATGCAGGATGCTGTAAATTATTCGGTATTCATATCTTTAAACAGTTTATGTGTAAATTTATATTTATGAACACATGAAACTTCTTGTAAGAAATTATTAATTTTCTCAGGAACTTCATCTAAAAAGTATATACATGTACTAGAGAATATTTAATGTAGATCTAGGTACCAGCTACTTATTAAACAGGTATGGATAATTTTGTGAATTGTTTCTACCAGTCTAGACCAAAGGAGTTTATATGCAATGGTAATTAAGATATCTGTCTGATTGTCTGTGTAAACACTTTATGCCCCTCCATGAATATGACCTGTCATATGTCCCTAAATTTCACAATTTTTTTTCTCATTTGGTTTGTAGTTCATCTTTTTTGATTCCATAAAGGAAACTCCATACATTGATATACCTCTATAAGAACATTTTTTTTCTATATATACCTAAGAGATCATATATAAATTTGCTAAATATTGAATCAATCTCAGACTAAAGAAGAAAGGTACATTTCTTTTTTTTACAGTTGCAATACAAATGTACCAATGGACATATATTCTGCTACTTCCTCTAGAGTCTTGGTCCAGTTTCAATAAAACATAGTACACAAGTAGACCATAAAGATACTTAATTCTGTTCGTGTTTGAAAAGTTAGAAAGCATTAGGACAGATTAGAATTATGTTAATGTTACATAAAAAAAACTTTCAGGTCCAGGTGCTAGCTACTACGGCACACCAGAAGAACTACAGTCCAGTCAGAGACTTCTGGCTTATCTTTTCAAAGAAAAACATAATCACACTCCTTTTAATCACCAGTTAGATTCATTTCATATTTGCATGTATAATCTCCTTTTTATGACTTCATTATTTTGTCTGGAGCAATCAATGGAAAAAATGTCAAAATTGATACAGTCATTTTAAATGAAGTATTTTCAAGGGTTGTAATGTTAAATACTTGTACAGGACCATACATACTGTACTGAGTATCCTAAAAGTATATCTTGATTGGTGAATGATGTATGTTTGCAAGTTCATTTTCCACTTTCGCTCTCTGTCAATTAATGTCCTGTTAATATCACTTTTCAACAGTAGCCCAAACTAGACAGTTCTATACTCTACATTTACATTGATTGTAATAATTGTGATTCTTCTATAGAATTTATCTTGATTTTGTTCTTTAAAATATTCAAGTAATATTTGTTTTAAAATGCTTGGTCTATTGTTATATCATTTTGTGAAAATAAAAACCTGTGATTAGAATGTATTTTTGTTAATTTTCCTTTCTTTTATAAAAGTTTGTATGTATAAGCCGATAATAAGAGTACACACATGTAATTGTAGAATACATTGATACTTTGATAATATAGTATGTCATTAAGGGTTTGGTTTTGTGTGCAGCCAAGTGAGACTCACTAAAAATAAAAACCTTAATATCTCAAAAATTAAGTCTTGCAAACACTTGAAAACTGGTCCATGTCATCTTCATAATGAAAACAATCTCTGGGTATATGCAGCTTAATTGACACTTGCAGCAGTTTGCAGCTATGAAGCGCACAATATACCTGCAGGACTGCGCAGCCACAGGTTTTAGTAGTGCACCAAAAAATCCAAAAAAATATGAAATAGTTAAACCAATTAAGTGGCTACAACTATTTGTGAAGAACCTTTGTTTTAAATGTAAACTCACTACAATAGGTACATTTCTTTAAATGCATACTTGTTAGTTAAACAAGAAAATGTTAGCCATGAAAGTAGTCCCAACCACATGGCAATGTGTTAAAAATAGAATTAAAGAGACTCACTGTTGATCTAAAAATAGCACTTTATATGAAAGCCCAGATGTATCTAAAGTATTACTCTATTATGTGTTCAAAACACAGTGAAATTAATGTTAGAAAAATAATTTTCTCCTCAAAAAATATGCCAAATAAGATGTTAAAAATCTGCAGGGATAATGAAAGTGTGCAATTTAAATAAGAAGCCGGGCCCACAACATTCACTTGAGTCACCTTGGTGATCTTCAGATTTCTAAGACATTCTTATCCCCCTTAATTCTCATAAAAACAAATTTGAGCTAATATTGTGGCCCCACCCTGGGGTCATAAGGCCATGTCTAATCCAAACTGATTCCACAACATGAGGATATTTCATTATCAATATGGCTAACATGACTTATATGTTTTCTAAAGTTTTTTTTTTCACATGTATACATGCATTTACCAATTTATATATAAAATCAGATCTCAGATTTATTTGAAGAAAAAAAAATTGAAAAAAAATACAAGTTAATTTGCATTAGTTAACTTCGCATTAGTTCTCGTGTGAACGCAATCTAATTCGCATTACTTTAATTCACATTAGTTTACTTCGAATTAATTTACTGTGAATTAAACTCTCCATGTGAACAGGGCATTAATATTATTATAATATTAAGTCTGGTCCATGATTTTGACCAACTTGAATCTTCTCTACTTGAGGATACTTGCATACATTATGAGTAAATCATTACCTTGTTGTTCATTAAAGGAAATTTTTTTCCTATCTATTCCCATGTCAAACTTTGATACCCCTATTTTAGGGTTTAATTTTTATGGATGACAGATGGACAGACACCAGAGACTCTTTGATCAGAAAAGTTCAATAGAGCCTCTGCTCAGATGAGCTAAAATGTAAAATGTCTTTGATTATTGTAAAAAAGTCACCAAGAAGAACAAAAGAAAAGAATGATAAATGAACTTCTTTTTATTCTTAATCACTTCCAGGATATTATATTTCTTTTAACATGTTAACCAGTATATGCAAGTTTGACTATTTTTTGTGAAACTTTCTTTAAAGATGTAAGGTATAATTTTATAAATAAGCTTCAATTCTAACAATATAACTCTAATATAACTCTCTAAGATATTTGAGACCTGTTGTTCTTAGCATGGGTTTTACAAGAGTGACTTTAAAACATTTTTTGCATTTAATGCACTAAACAATAAATTAGATAAAACACTATTATAATATCCTGTATCAAGATCCCAAAATGTTCTTCATTGTAAACTCGTGGAAAGTTCAAATATCTATTTTTGTTTGGTCATCATATGTTCTTTTTCAATGATGTTTGGAAAGTTCAATGCATTTGTTCATACAACCATGAAATCAAAAATATTAACTTTCTGAAGTCATATCATATGAAACTAAATCACAGTCTTCACATGTTGCTGATATTTTCTCCAACACTGCTTTCCAAAAGATTAACTGTTGAGACAAACCAACATGGACCAAAACCACTATCATTTGAATGATCTCCTTAACTTTGAAATCTGTAAAATATTAAATATAAATACTGTGGTTTCATCAATATTCGTTGAGCACCAATTTTCGAGTATTTCGTTGTTGGGCAGATCCACGAAATTAAATGTTCATTGATTTACGAAATATGCTATTCATTTGTATAGGCAATGCTTTTGTCCACGAAATTACGTATCCTCGAAAACGTCTGTTTTACAAAATTCACGAAAATTGATGCCAATGAAAATTGATGAAACCACAGTAATTTATAACATACCACTAAAAAAACAATACTGTTGATCACTCTCAAAGAGGGAACTTGAATTGAAAGTTCAATCTTTACATCATGACTAAGTAAAAAGCATGCAAAGATAGACAAGTAAATTTCAGGGTCAAAGGCTACACATCCCTCAGCAATGATGGTCACATTGTAAATGTTGGTTAACACTGATTGTTGCATTGAATATATCTTATTTTAATTTACAATTAGTGTAGATCAGAGTGGTTTAATTCATATAGAGATAAATGAGTTTAATCTGTATACAAAGAGGTCAACCATAAATAAGATCAATTAAGGTAAGGCCAAACAAAAAAAATATGTGTGGTTTCGGTTACACCTCCAAAAAAATTAGGGTAGGTAGGTAGTGGTTTTTTTTTGTTTTTTTTTTTTAACAAAATGATTTTCTTAATTTTTTTAAATAATACCTATAACTGCTTTGCAAATGACATTTAGATGTGGTGTGATAATATACACTGTACTAGTCAATATTGGTAGGGGACACGGTCACACCTACTTGCTAGCTTGCTTTGGATTTAACACTATTAAACACTTGCACTATGTTGTGCAAGGAGGCCATCATTGCTAAAACTTAAAACCAGAGCCATTGATGGAAATCCAGGAAAATTTCCGGAAAAAATATGAAAATTGCCAAAAAAAAGTTTAGGGTCGGGGGTATAAAATAGGGACGGTCAGGTAACCGGAACCACACATATTTTTTTATTTGGCCTAAACCCAAGTGATGATCATGTCATCTTGCCTTGGGAAGTAGATGAGACAAGCATATAAGATCATAATTAAATAAAGCAAACAAGTATCAGTACAAAATCTGAAGGTTAAATGACAAGGTAAGGATTTGATGGCAGAATTTTAAAAACCTGATATAATATGACATGTGTGTTAGTAAGCTACAAGAAGATGATCAGAAACAGTTCCTTCCAAAAGAGATTGAAGTTTTCAATTATTTAAAAATAACCTCTGATGTGACTTCTTTTTTCAGTCACTGTTTACCTAACATTTGTTTTTTTTATTGTTAAAGTCAACTGCAATATAAACAATTACTTTTATTGGTTTATAACGTGACATCACACATAAGGTTTGATTATTCATGATAACGATACTTTATTCGCTCAAGCAGCCTCGGGTAGGAGAGAGCTGTAGGCGGACTCCAACCATGGCTTGGGACAATGTGATGGACACATACACAACATTCACTTAAACAAGATCTTTCTTTTTATCCAACCGCATATACATTTCTCATCATAAAAATTGTACATTCTTTCATTCTGTACACATAGAATAACATCTGAATCCAATCATACAAAACGAAAAAGACTAGTTAGCTCACTGTGATTATGACACCTACCTTATACCCTTATACACATGTCTATTAAATTTACAGAATCATTTCATTGGGATATAAAACTTACCTTACAGGGGAGGTTTTTGGGAGGGCTCCAACACAGGTATCACATGAAATGCAGAAATTGGCAGTCCAGAGGAAATATCTGAACAGTGTTCTTTTTTGTGAAACAAGGCATTCTGTAAACATGGTAAACATAGTTATTATAAATTTTAGGAAAAAAGTTCAAAAAACAATTCTTTTAAATCTAGATATTAATATTAACCTTTGTTGAACATGTTGAAGGGTGTCAGTGTTTTAACTGAATGGTATTTATTTCCTGAAACTGTGTCCTATAAAACTTTTTTTCTATGAGACATTATAAGAATAGAGTTTTGCTTCAATCTCTCCAACATCAATAAAGGTGAATTTGAATTTGATTATTGTTTGTTATCTTCATATTTCATTGAAAGTCTCTTCCATTTTTTTCTTTAAGCATTTTAACCTCAATGTGTCAAACTATACCAGATATCTTGAATTTTTTTATTGGTCCCATCAATTAGAAATGACAAGGTTTGCCTGTTCCATTAAAATGCATGAGGTCCTCAAAAAAAAAAATAATAATAATAACCTTTGAGATAAAGTGGTGGCTACATGTACATTCATTTTGTTTTCAATTTTATAGAAAAATATTAGAGGTTTCTACAAGAATATTATGGTATTTATGGATCAATACCAAGATTTACCCCCCACCCCACCCACAGCACCTTATCTCTTCCTTACAAGTGCAACCAACATATGAAAAACTTTCATAAAATGAACATTCAATTAAAAATAAACATGCTTGGTAGCATTTGATTCAGCATGCTCAATGGTAACTTAAGATCAGGTAAGACCCCCTTATTATACTCCCTTTTGATGAAACCAATGCAGTTGCAGAAATTCAAGTTTTCAATCTTAACCATTTCAACTAAGGAATATTAATTATTAATACTTTATGCAATTTTCATCTTTAAAAATTAAGCTATTTTTCAATTTTGCTGCACTCTTCATTTGATGAACAATTTACATATCAAGCAATGAGCAAATTAAGTTGACATCCTTGAAAATTTTTATCGTTTAATTTACTTTTCCCCATGAGAACTACATATACTGCACTAATCTGCAAATTCGAAGGACCAAGTCCAAAATGATATGGTTTGTATACATAGTACAAACTTAGGTGAATATTATTTATATAAATTAAAAATACTTGCATCTCTTTTACAAAAAGTAAACAAAAAAAGCAATAAAATTTGAAAAATTTTGATTTACAAATAACACATCTGATTTACCATATATATGTACTACGT